AATGGATCAGATGCTCGTCTTGTAGCTTATGTGGTGGCCGACGCGGGTTCATCGTTAGCACAGGATTTGCGTACATATCTATCGAGCTTATTGCCTGAATATATGGTACCAGTTGCTTATGTGTGTCTGCCGTCTCTACCGCTAACGCCCAATGGCAAGCTAGACCGGCGAGCACTTCCGGCTCCGGATGATGGAGCGTTCGTTCGGCAACAGTATGAAGCTCCACAAGGTGCAATGGAAGAGAAACTGGCCGATATATGGCGTGGTCTGCTTGGCATTGAACGCATCAGCCGTCATGACAATTTCTTTGCGCTGGGAGGCCACTCGTTATTGGTCGTACGACTTTTGATACAGTTGAGACAGCTCGGTCTAGACACCACCGTACGAGAAGTGTATAATTCTCCAACTCTGGCCATTTTGGCTACGAAGCTTGCCTGTTATGAAGCAGTTACTATTCCACCTAATCTCATTACTTCAGATTGCATGTCTATTACTCCAGAAATGTTACCGCTCATCACTCTTTCTCAGGCAGAGATTGATGCAATTATTGCACAGGTACCTGGTGGAGTAACTAATATCCGAGATATTTATGGATTGGCGCCTTTGCAACAGGGTATGTTCTTCCATCATCTGAGGTGCGAAGAGGGCGACCCATACTTGATGGGAATGCGTATGCAATTTACTGACCGTACGGCACTTGAACGTTATGCAAATGCTCTGCAAAAGACAATAGAGAGACACGATATCCTTCGTACCATCTTCATCTGGGAAGGTCTCAGTGAGCCGGCGCAGATCATTTTGCGTAAGGTTCCTTCGTTACCCAACGAGGTTACATTGGATGATACCAGTGAACCGGTATTGGAGCACTTGAGCCGCCGCTTTGATCCGCGTCACTACCGGTTCGAATTGACACAGGCACCGCTATTGCGTTTATTTGCCGCACGAACGTCTGAAGGGAGCTGGGTGGCAATACAACTGATGCACCACTTAATTATTGATCACTTAACACTGGAGAGGCTGCAGGTGGAAGTTCACGCTATCATTGACGGGAAGATTGAACAGTTAACAACACCAACTTCATTCCGTAATGTTGTGGCTCACTCCCTGCTGGGAGTTAAACCAGCCGAGCATACTCGATTCTTCAGTGAAATGCTCGGTGATATTGACGAGCCAACCTTGCCATTCGGTTTGAGAGAGGTTGATCTGGATGAAAATGAAATCAATGAAGCATATCTGAAGATGTCACAGGTACTTAATGATCAGTTACGAGCGCATGCACGGAATCTTCAGGTCAATTTGGCTAGTATTTGTCATTTAGCTTGGGCACAAGTACTTTCGCGAACTAGTGGACGCGAAACGGTAGTTTTTGGCACCGTGTTACTTGGCCGTTCACAGGGAAAAGAAAACGACAATGTTATGGGACCGACGATTAACACGCTCCCAATACGAATAGATCTTATGGACACCAACGTCGAGACCGCGGTTCGCGATAGTCATGCTCGGTTGAGTGCGTTGTTAGCCCATGAACATGCACCACTTGCATTGGTTCAACGCTGCAGCAGAGTTCCAGTTGGCATTCAATTATTCAGCACATTACTGAACTATCGTCATAGTCAACAGACCGAAGAAGTCAATGCGTCACTTCAAGGAGTAACTCTTCTAGGCAGTGAAGGTCGAACTAATTACCCATTAACAATCTCGCTGGATGATAACGACGATGCTTTGTGCTTGACTGTGCAAGTAGTCACACCAATGTCAGCAATTCGAATCGGTGCATACATGCAGCAAGTTATGGAATCGATGGTTGATGCTTTATCACAAACGCCTCAACAGATGATAAGAACATTGATAATAATACCACCAGATGAACGCACATTACTGCTGCACACTTGGAATCAAACGATGGTTATCTATTCACCTGTATGTTGTCTTCATCACATATTTGAAGCACAGGTCGAACGTGATGGACAAACAATTGCCGTGGAGTACAAAGGAAAGACTCTGAGCTATGCGGAACTCAATGCCGAATCCAATCGATTGGCACATTACTTGATCGAGCGAGGCGTCAAATCCGATGATCGCATCGCACTTTGCGTTGAGCGTAGTGCAACAATGATTATAGCAATGCTGGGTATTCTGAAAGCTGGCGCTGCATATGTACCACTCGACCCAGCCTATCCGAGCCAACGACTGACCAATACTTTGCACGATGCTGATCCGATATTTTTGTTGACAGATGCAACTGGCCGAAAAGTACTTGGAGACCATAAAGTGCCTGTGATTGACTTAGATGAACCGTTGCCTGATGATTTGCCAATCGATAACCCGGACGTGACCAGTCTTGGACTAACTCCAAATCATCTCGCTTATGTAATTTACACCTCTGGTTCAACAGGAACACCGAAAGGAGTAATGGTTGAACATCAGCAAGTCGTACGACTCTTTGCGGCTACAAGCGAAAAATTTGATTTTAATAAACAAGACAAATGGTGTCTATTCCATTCGTATTCCTTCGATGTTTCGGTATGGGAGATATGGGGAGCATTCTCGAATGGTAGTCAACTGTCGATTGTACCATATGAAATCAACCGTTCAACGGACGAATTTCATGATTGGATCTGCGGCAATGGTGTTACTGTGCTAAATCAAACGCCCTCGGCGTTTAAAATGCTTATGCGAGCGATGAATATGAGTTTACGAACCAATCGACTGCGATATATTATATTTGCCGGTGAAGAGCTAGATCCAATGATCGTAAAAGAATGGTATGAAAAGTACGCTGAAAATCAAACAGTCTTGGTCAATATGTATGGCACAACGGAAACAACAGTTCATGCGACCTATCAACGGCTGGAAACTGAAGAAAATGTTCACACAGTCGGACGACCACTCTCCGATCTTTGTGTATATTTGCTGGATTCATATGGCGAGCCAGTGCCACTGGGAGCCGTGGGAGAATTGTATATCGGTGGTGCTGGTGTGGCTCGTGGTTATCTAAATCAACCTGAACTTACCGCAGAACGTTTTCTACCCAATCCATTCAGTGACAATCCTCAAGCACGCATGTACCGAACCGGTGATCGAGCACGATATCTGCCTGATAGTAATCTAGTTTATCTGGGACGCATAGACCAGCAAGTAAAAGTTCGCGGTTTTCGAATTGAGCCTGGTGAAATTGAAGCCCACTTAATCGAAAACCCTCAGGTGGACGAGGCAGTTGTACATATGTATGGAAATGGATCAGATGCTCGTCTTGTAGCTTATGTGGTGGCCGACGCGGGTTCATCGTTAGCACAGGATTTGCGTACATATCTATCGAGCTTATTGCCTGAATATATGGTACCAGTTGCTTATGTGTGTCTGCCGTCTCTACCGCTAACGCCCAATGGCAAGCTAGACCGGCGAGCACTTCCGGCTCCGGATGATGGAGCGTTCGTTCGGCAACAGTATGAAGCTCCACAAGGTGCAATGGAAGAGAAACTGGCCGATATATGGCGTGGTCTGCTTGGCATTGAACGCATCAGCCGTCATGACAATTTCTTTGCGCTGGGAGGCCACTCGTTATTGGTCGTACGACTTTTGATACAGTTGAGACAGCTCGGTCTAGACACCACCGTACGAGAAGTGTATAATTCTCCAACTCTGGCCATTTTGGCTACGAAGCTTGCCTGTTATGAAGCAGTTACTATTCCACCTAATCTCATTACTTCAGATTGCATGTCTATTACTCCAGAAATGTTACCGCTCATCACTCTTTCTCAGGCAGAGATTGATGCAATTATTGCACAGGTACCTGGTGGAGTAACTAATATCCGAGATATTTATGGATTGGCGCCTTTGCAACAGGGTATGTTCTTCCATCATCTGAGGTGCGAAGAGGGCGACCCATACTTGATGGGAATGCGTATGCAATTTACTGACCGTACGGCACTTGAACGTTATGCAAATGCTCTGCAAAAGACAATAGAGAGACACGATATCCTTCGTACCATCTTCATCTGGGAAGGTCTCAGTGAGCCGGCGCAGATCATTTTGCGTAAGGTTCCTTCGTTACCCAACGAGGTTACATTGGATGATACCAGTGAACCGGTATTGGAGCACTTGAGCCGCCGCTTTGATCCGCGTCACTACCGGTTCGAATTGACACAGGCACCGCTATTGCGTTTATTTGCCGCACGAACGTCTGAAGGGAGCTGGGTGGCAATACAACTGATGCACCACTTAATTATTGATCACTTAACACTGGAGAGGCTGCAGGTGGAAGTTCACGCTATCATTGACGGGAAGATTGAACAGTTAACAACACCAACTTCATTCCGTAATGTTGTGGCTCACTCCCTGCTGGGAGTTAAACCAGCCGAGCATACTCGATTCTTCAGTGAAATGCTCGGTGATATTGACGAGCCAACCTTGCCATTCGGTTTGAGAGAGGTTGATCTGGATGAAAATGAAATCAATGAAGCATATCTGAAGATGTCACAGGTACTTAATGATCAGTTACGAGCGCATGCACGGAATCTTCAGGTCAATTTGGCTAGTATTTGTCATTTAGCTTGGGCACAAGTACTTTCGCGAACTAGTGGACGCGAAACGGTAGTTTTTGGCACCGTGTTACTTGGCCGTTCACAGGGAAAAGAAAACGACAATGTTATGGGACCGACGATTAACACGCTCCCAATACGAATAGATCTTATGGACACCAACGTCGAGACCGCGGTTCGCGATAGTCATGCTCGGTTGAGTGCGTTGTTAGCCCATGAACATGCACCACTTGCATTGGTTCAACGCTGCAGCAGAGTTCCAGTTGGCATTCAATTATTCAGCACATTACTGAACTATCGTCATAGTCAACAGACCGAAGAAGTCAATGCGTCACTTCAAGGAGTAACTCTTCTAGGCAGTGAAGGTCGAACTAATTACCCATTAACAATCTCGCTGGATGATAACGACGATGCTTTGTGCTTGACTGTGCAAGTAGTCACACCAATGTCAGCAATTCGAATCGGTGCATACATGCAGCAAGTTATGGAATCGATGGTTGATGCTTTATCACAAACGCCTCAACAGATG